ATTTTCACACATGAGAACTTTCTGACGCGCGGACGAGGCTCAGGCCCTTGTCTCACCGCCTGGAAAGACTGCGCCTTGTGAAGAGACACAGCTCCCTCGTGGAGAGTGTAGCTTCATACTCCCCGAGTCAGAGGCCGGCAATGGCACCCGCCAGCGCTGTTCTTGCAGGAGCTTCTACCCAGATCCCCTGCTGCGCTCTCGCTGTGGTTGTGGCCACCAGGCGTGGAACCATGAGGCCCAGCCCCTCGCCACAGTGTCCATGGAAGACTATCTGCAGGCTGTCGAGCAAATGAAGCAGCTGAAGCAGCAAGTCAAGCGCTTCGAGAATCTGGAACACACTCTGAAGCAAGAGCTGTTCAAGGAGAGAATGGCGCGAGAGGAGCTTATTCGCACCAATACGAGGATCCAGGCTCGAATGTATGAGAACATGCATTTTCTCAAGATATCCATGGATGACAGAGTCGAGGCCGTGGTGGACAGAACAACCGAGCTCAGTGACCAGGTCAAGGCGCAAGGCGAGCGGCTGATCATGGTGGACGAGTTCAGTATGGAACTGGAGAACAGGCTGGATCTTGTAGAGCAGCGTGAAGGCATCTCAAGAGACACAACACCCATCGGATCGACGCCCAGAGCACGCACGTCAACGCCCAAAACACCGCCTGTGCCACAGCCCCCACTGCTTATGCAATCCCAACAAAACACCCTCGGCCAACTGCCGATTCGTACTGATAAAAAGTATGCCATGTCGTGGTGTGTCAGGGTGATATTCGTGCCACGAAAATCTCTGAGGTTGGCGTACGACCCGGATAGCAACGCCTACAAGCGATGTGCGTCTCGGAATCTCCAGCAAAATCTCGAATTTCCAAGTCAAGATAGCTCATGCTTTGCAAATCGTATCGAGACTGCTTTCAAAGGCCTCCTCCGGGGACGTCCATGGATGCCAATGACAGGTCATCGCCCAGCAGATGAGCCTTTTGGTCGCATGGCGCTCACTCTCCTACCCCCAGACCTCATCCATCGCAACGTCTGGGATTACCCATTTCTCGAGGATCACTGTATTGCACACGACAAGATGCAAGGAGACGTTCTATACATCACACTACAATATGAAGACGTCACCTGGAATGAGATTCGGTTCCTTCCAGCGGTGAACAATATTGATGAGTCGTGTTGGGATCACGACGAAGAGCTTGATGGCACTGCCAAGTACAAGAGTCTGGATTCAGAGATCATGTATGATTTCCAGGACCCTCCTCCAACCTATTCATCTCGAACTCACTCGATGGACGACAGAGCGATTTCCAAGTTAGATGTGCTTGCCGATTCCGCTGCCATGTTGAGGCCCATCGAACGTGTACCCACCCAATCATCCGTTACTTCGGCCAGACAAAGTCCGATGAGCTCCATGCGACGTACACCAACGCAATCGTCAAGCCACTCGAGTCAGCCTCGTTTTCCTTCTGAGCGTAGCAGTCTTCGCAGCTTTGACACCGAGACTACAGATGACGAACATCGCGACAAGAAACCTAAGCTCAGGGCGAAGCAAAGTATGCCCAGTGTGAACGGCAACGGCCAGACACAGCAACCAATGTATGTCTCTGGTCGCTCAAAGCGAAAGATGCCAGTGCGTGAAAAGGGTCCCAAAGAGCCGCTCCACTTTAGCGTCTCCAACGTGGCCAAGTGGCGACCGAACCTGCTTCATCCTCACTCTTCCAAGGGGAAAGAGGTTGCGCATGATCCCTAGCCTTTTCTATGCTCCAACGCATTCTCCTGCTTTTTTTCACTGTTTCCCATCAGCTATTTTTAAAGGCGTTCACGAGTAAAAAGCTCATTTTCTAGGATACCCATGAACATTACCTCTTGCCACTTTTCAGAGCAGCTTTTCAAGTGTATCAGACCTGCTTCTTTTGTGAAGCCGTCTCCTTGTCACGTCCATTCCACTATTGATCGTTTTTTCAATCTCGTTTTAGTCGCAAATCATAGACAGCCCGTGAGAGATGGCGACTGAGCTTACAGCTTGTCGGCACTCTGTGTAAGTGTAACAATCAACAAGATACATCATTTCAGATTTGCTTTCTGGACTACATTGCGTTCCCGCTATAGCTTCATACCTAAAGTGTGTTGAAATAAAGTAAATGCTGGATACAAGAGCAGAGAAAGCTCGGAGCGGGACCCATTAGCTTCCGGATGCACATCATCAGGGCACGTACCTCCAAAACATAGATGACATTCTTGTTCATCAGCTCCAGCTTCTACACCTTGGATACAAACCCATCGATGTCGGCTCAATCCCCTTGAAGCATCTGTGTCGTGCCTTGCCTTATCATCCTTTGATGCAGCTCTCACCAAACGACTGCATCCATCCTTGCACTTGGGAATCTACCGAACCACTCATCATGCTTTCCTATCAGCTAGGAATTAGCTGTCACACAAGAGCTAGTCCTGCATTGACTAGGTCTCGTTATCGTGCAACATTCTTGGGAAACGGAGAGATACGAGCCTGATCCTGCGCCTTCCCTGCGATGGGTGAGCACGCGTGGGATATGTAGCACGAATTGCACCGGTACGTCTTAGCAACGGCGGCTGTGCTGACTTTTCTGTACTCTATGTACTACTGTAATCTACACATGGGAGCTTGCAACCGACATGTGAGCTTACCTAGCGACTCTATCACATCCCCAGCCGCACCCGCCACCCAACTTATCTTGAAACGCTGTTCATTGCCCAGCAAGCCGTCGTTCAACGGGTCCCCTGGCGTCATTTTGACAGATGTATTGAAAACCTGCATCACCTGAAAGCTAGCTATGGCTATGTCGCCCATGAAAGATCTCGGACTTGATAAAGACGGTCTCGAACACACGGCCTCTAATACATCTTCTAGTCACGGGAACGTCTATTTCTTTCAGAGGTATACATCCCTTTCAACTGGTCATTGATAATCGCAGGAGAAATAAGAAATAGGGGGTGGAGTTGACAGCGCAGAATGTGAGTACTGAGAAGCTCAGAGATGGTCCAAGGAACAAGGAGTTCAGGTGGTTCTTGTGACATGGTGCTTGATTTGTTACCGCTAACGGCCAGTCGCCATTCCACACATCTTGGGGAAAAGGCGTGGCACTGGCAAAGCAACGTCTCCTTGGTACAATGCGAGTTCCTGCTATATCCAACGAGCTCCAATGTTTGTAGCGGGGGAAACAGCAACCCTCATCGGGACAAGCCCCTGCAGCACGGCCCCTGGAAGCCTGACAGAGTCACGCGTCACAGTCATCCGAACTTGGCGAAGAGCCAAAGACATTTTACATACTCGAGGAACAGTCTCACGGTGTGGAATTCTGCAGGGAAGCTTGGGAAACGAAGTTCAGGTCCTCATCTGCGGACTCTTGTTTCACAATGAAATCGGCCATTTCGAGGATTCAATGTCGCTGCAGGTCAGAGCCGAATCGTGGGGCAGACGCGCCAGTATCTTAGCGCTAAAGTCGGTCGGATGCCTATCTTATCGCCGAGGCAGATCGTCACTCGTCACCCTTCACCCCAGCCTCACGCGCCTCACTCAATCAGTCAGTCATCACGGGTCGCAGCTTGAAGCTGCCTAGTACCTTTCTGTCCTGCTGCTATCTATAAGCTCCCTTCTACCTGTGACTTCTTGCAACATATTCCATCACCTCTCTTTGTCGTTTTGCGAGCTGCTGCACCATTCAGCCCGTGAGAGCTCCGCTGGAGCTTGCCTTATCTCCAACATGGCAGTCAAAGCCGCCGTCCCGTTTCTGGTGGCTATGATGCTGCTGACAGGTGTTTGCAACACGTTGTTGACCAAGTATCAGGTATATGAGGCCTTTGTGTAAGGGATCGAAGCTCCCCGACTGACCATGGCGACCAGGACATGCAATGCATCAAGAACTGCGACGCGCCTAGTCCCAAGTACCGCGAACACTTCGAGCAGCCCGTTCTGCAGACACTCCAGATGTTCGTTGGCGAGATGGGCTGTTGGCTCGTTATTGGCTTATTCTCCCTTTATCAGCGCTATGCCAGCCGTCGGGCTGGCTACGAACCCATCCCGGATAGCGAGGGTACTGGCATCAACACACCGGGATCCGACGTGACCGAGACTGGCGAGATTGCCAACCCCCTGAAACCTGCACACCCAGACGATGAGGGCAGGATACCGTTGACTGGTCGCAGCATCTTTCTGTTGGCTCTCCCAGCATGTTGCGACATCGCTGGTACTACGCTCATGAACGTGGGTTTGCTTTTCGTAGCTGCCAGTATCTACCAGATGACTCGAGGAGCACTCGTGTTGTTTGTCGGACTCTTTAGCGTGTGGTTCCTGAAACGTCATCTCGGAGCATACAAGTGGTTCTCGCTCTTCGTCGTTGTTACCGGTGTTGCGATTGTCGGACTCGCAGGCGCCATCACCCGTGATGACAAGGCGACTCCTGGACATCAATCTCTCCACGATACCACTGCTGGTCCAGTCAGACAGCAGGCTCTTTCACAGGCTGCCATGACGATTATTGGTGTGATGCTCATCGCTGGTGCTCAGATCTTCACTGCGACACAGTTCGTGCTGGAGGAGAGGATCATGGAGAAGTATGCGATGGAGCCTATCAAGGTGGTTGGCTGGGAAGGCATTTTTGGATTCAGCGTTACGCTCATTGGCATGATCATCTTGCACTTTGCGATTGGTACCGGGTACTTCAACGCCAGAGCGGGATTCTACCAGATGACACACTACCGCGCCATTGCCGTTTCTTCGGTGCTTATTATGATCAGCATTGGGTATGTTCCTCATCTATCCGAGTTTCTTAGATTGCATACTAACAGTATCACAGTGGCTTCAATTTCTTCGGCCTGTCAGTCACCCGCACCGTGTCTGCAACCTCGCGCTCCACCATCGACACATGCCGTACTCTCTTCATTTGGATTGTCTCGCTCGGTCTTGGCTGGGAAACTTTCAAATGGCTGCAAGTGTTAGGGTTCGCGCTGTTGGTCTATGGAACGTTCTTGTTCAATGACTTGATCAGGCCCCCGCTAAAGTCGTGGGTCGAGAGGAAACCGGAGCCTTTGTTGCCTGAGGCTCCAATTGAGCATCTCTAGAGGAGATGTGAAGATAGTTAGAGATGGCATGTGGGTACAGATTGTTGGAGGTATTTGTGAGGAGTACGTGTTTGATTCGCGATGCATTGATGGCGTTTCCACTGGGTACATTTGCAAGAAATTGTTTCAAGCGTGTCTCGCATTAGAATTGAATGTGCATTCCATATATTGTTTTGTCTTGCGCCCATTTATACAGTCCGTGGAGGATGGGAGTGATTGAATTTGATGTTCCTACGAGTTGTGGCGCTCGGCGAATTTAGTGCTGTGGCTGGTGCAGTTAGCGCAGCCCGCAGTCTTGGCCACTCGCTTAGGGTCGTTGGTATTTCGACACCCACGAACTCGACGATAACGACGACAATACGGACAAGCCGACTTTCTGAACACCACGCCCGGAGGTTCAGACACGCCACCCCATATCCGACAACATGGCCACTACTCAGTCCGCAATGTGAGTCTATCCGCACCATTTGGCCAGAGCGCGCACGATCGTTTTGGTATTGGGGGGTTCCAAGTACTGACATATGTGCAGCTCCAAGAGGAGAAAGTTCGTCGCTGGTACGATACATCCGATGCCACAGGCAGAGAATTGGTTCGCCGGATAGAAGATTGGGGAGAGCCCGAGCAAGACTCGCCTGAGCACACAATCATCGCATCCGGGGGCGCCAATGCCTGCAGTGACCAAGCCCCCAGCGCACACTGCACAATCACTAACAATTCGCCCTAGACGGTGTTTTCTACGCCGAGCTGAACGAGTTCTTCCAGCGCGAGCTGGCTGAGGAAGGCTACTCAGGCGTCGAGGTCCGCGTTACCCCCACCGTCACCGACATCATCATCCGCGCCACCCACACACAAGAGGTTCTCGGAGAGCAGGGTCGCCGTATCCGTGAGCTCACCTCGCTCATCCAGAAGCGCTTCAAGTTCCCCGAGAACTCGGTCTCTCTGTACGCCGCCAAGGTCCAGAACCGTGGTCTCTCTGCCGTCGCTCAATGCGAGTCGCTCCGCTACAAGCTTCTCAACGGTCTCGCTGTCCGAAGGGCATGCTACGGTGTGCTCAGGTTCATCATGGAGTCTGGTGCTAAGGGTTGCGAGGTTGTCGTGTCTGGAAAGCTCAGGGCCGCCCGTGCCAAGAGTATGAAGTTCACTGTAAGCCTCGCTCGCACTTTATGTCGGAAAAGATCAAAATACTGACAATATTAGGACGGTTTCATGATCCACTCTGGTCAGCCCGCCAAAGACTTCATTGACCACGCCACCCGCCACGTCCTGCTCCGCCAGGGTGTGCTCGGTATCAAGGTGAAGATTATGCGTGGCTCTGACCCCGAGGGCAAGGCCGGCCCATCTCAGACTCTTCCCGACTCCGTCACCATCATCGAGCCCAAGGAGGAGCAGCCCGTTGTCCAGCCCATGTCCCAGGACTATGGCGCCAAGGCCATCGCCGCCCAGCAGGCAGCGGAACAGGCCAGGCAAGCGGAGCAGGGTGAGGGCGAGGCCCAGCCCGCGGAGGGCTACGCTGAGGAGCAGTAGGTGGAGACTTGGTTGCGGGGCGCATAGGTTACGAAAAGGCATGGAATGGAATGTTATGATGCCATTACGAACCCTGACACATCTTCCTTTGCACATTCGGATGAATTGGGCTGCTTTTGACACGGGAGGATATGGAGTCTTTTAGTGCTATGTACTCTATCAGACTACCCACACATCAAAAGATGGCTTTGACCAATCAACTCAACCTGAAAGTTCTTTCTGCGTGAGTGTCAGGAGTGAGCGTGACGACTCTGTTTACTGTTACTTCTTACATTACTAGCTCAAACCACAAAGCTCTATGAGGGAATGAGGGTTCAGAAGCAGATTCTTTTTTGCTAGCGTGCGCGATACTTTTGGGTAAGCCATCGAAAATCATTGATGAGAAATGGTGCTGAAAGTATGTTTGATCTAACTCGCTCTAGATTTCCTTGAACACAGCCATGCCCTCCATGACCTTGCCACTCTGCTCAACCATTAGGTTCCAATTGCAACTGCTTCCCAGTCCCGGGTTTTCGATCCACGTTGGCTCCCAGTAGAACAAGCCCGTACCCTTTCCTCCCGGGACAGCAGCAACACGCTTCGCGACCTCCTTCATCCACAGCACCTGGCCCCACGCCGAGAGAGGAATACTCGAGGTGTCGGCCGGGAATGGCGTGCTGGGGTTCGGGCAAGACGAAGGCCAATTCGTCTCGACGACCTGAACCTGCTTGCCATACTTGGCCGCCATCTTATTCAACGAATTCGACAGCGACGCCAGCGTGGCCTTGCTGTTATAAAACGGATAGTAGGAAACGCCCTGGATGTCATAATCGGCTGCACTGAAGCCCCCGCCCGAACCCAGCACGAGATCGTACCACCACTGCTGCGTATCCCAGTTCCAGCCATTATCCAAATGAATCAAGATTTTCGGCTGCGGGCTCAACTTCGACTCCTTGACAGCCTTCGACGCGGATTTCAACAACATGGCCACATTTTTCGCTTCCTCAGGGTAATTGGCCCCCTTGAGATGGCCAATGGGCCACAGCAGGCCCGGCGTGATTTCATTCCCGATACTTACGATCTGCAGCGGCAGACCGTTGTTATGAAATGCCTCCAGCACGTTCTTGGTGTAGTCGTACACCTGCTTCACCAGCGCCTCGCGATTCAGCCCTGCCCACTTAGCAGGTACAATCTGCTTGAGCGGATCGGCCCAGTTGTCGCTGTAATGAAAGTCGAGGTAGATGCCCAAGCCTGCTTTATGTGCACGCTCGGCGAGGCGGAGATTGTAGTCGAGACCGTAGTCTCCGTTGGGGGGGTTGACCCAGATGCGTTGGCGGACGGTGTTGACGCCCGAGGCCTTGAGGATAGTTTCGAGCGGCTGCTTGATGCCCGCGCTGTTCAGGTATATTTTGCCTGCGGCTTCTTCGTGTAGGAGTGAGGACCAGTCGATGCCTTTGTAGGGGAGGGCGGCGAGGACGGTGTTGCTGAGGAGTAGGGGGAGGAAGAGGGGAAGACGCATGGTCAGGTTTGTGGGGGGAGGGAGGGAGGGAGAAGGAAGAGGACAGGAGGAAGAGGACAGAATGGACGGTTTGGGGTCGGTGAGGAGACGGGGATGACTGTATCTACCTGCCTTTTATATACCCTTCCGTCCTTTCACTCACCCACTCTCTCGTATAAGAAATCTCAACGAGAGAAACAAGTCTGCATCGATCTACAGATCATCTACTCTCCTCCTCTTCCATATACCCGCCGGCCTCACTTCTCCATCCAGCCATCCTTCCCGCTACCGTAATCCACACACTCACTAACCCAACCCACCACCCCAAGTATCAATTTAACAAAAAAAATTACCCCCCTCCCTCCCCTTCCTCATTGCCTCCACACAGACACACACTATACACACAACATAACCCCATCATCCCGAACCCCACATGAAACAAAGTACTTCCGCCAATGACACACCCACACAGCAGGCAAGTGTTATTCGTCCGGGTCGCAATAAGAAAAGTGTCCTGGTTATAAGCCTTACCTTACCCAAATTGGTTAACATCCTGCAGCTAGTAAATTAGTACTGCAGGGGATGCTACTAGATAGCCCGCGACTAGTATTAATAGTATTAATATATAGTATTAGTAGTATTACTATAGTAAAGGAAAAGGATTAACTTGCTATAACTTAGTATATTTATAATACTACTAGTATAGGGCTTTATAATAACTTTATACTCTATAAAGCCTTAGAGGACACCTAAGAGTTATCTAAGTTAGTTAGTAATATAGATTAAGTAAGTAATATTTCTATAAGATAAAAAGTATAATAATTAGGTGTGTTTTAATAGATTTTAGTTAATACAGGATGTTAGGTTATAGCTATTACCTAGTTACTATAGGTAAAAACTCTATAATAACACGTAACTAGGTATAGATAACCTAATATCTACTAATACTATACACTAATACTATTAATACTAGTCACGGGCTATCTAGCGGCATCCCCTGCAGTACTAATTTACTAGCTGCAGGATGTTAACCAATTCGGGTAAGGTAAGGCTTATGACCAGGACACTTTTCTTATTGCGACCCGGACGAATAACGTTTCCCCACACAGCACCATTTATTTCATTTGTCCCCGCCCATGCCCTCCGCCTCCGCTCCGACCCGCCGCCGCCAACCCACAACACCGACAAACAAGTGCGCTTGTTTGGGAAATTGCCGGGCGCGCAGTCATGCCTGCAGGGAAGTTAAAGTGAATTACTAGTCTGGGGTTGATTAGGGGGGCTTTTCTTTTTGGGCCGGGGAGCGGTCACGGGTTGGAAGATGATCTGCGGTGGGCTGGGCGCTGACTGGTGAGGCCGGGGGGTGGATAGGGTACCGGATGGGGTAATTTAGGAGATTGGGGGGGTGCGGACAACTCTCTGGTACGGGGGGGGGGGGTTTTGGTAGTTTGTGGGGAGGAGTGAGAGGGGAGAGGAGAGGGCGGATTAGCGGGTTGATGTGTTGATGTGCTGCAGGGGTTGATGTGGGTTGTGGAGATGTAAATGGCTATCAGTACTGTATAGTGTGTGAGTGTTTATTCTACATGCGTACAGGAAATCCAGTAGCGGGAGTATATCATAATTTTCACTGGTCAAAGTTCTTGATCTCAGGCATCATACCAAGTCCCTTGCCCTCCTTCCTTTCAGAACCTTCACCCTCGATCACACCGCCCGCTTTCCTGTCGTTGACGTGTCGTCGCAACATACTCAGGATTTCACTGCCTTTCCACCTACTGGGTACAGGTCGGTAGGCCGGCTTGAAAGTGCCAACAGTCTGTGCCCACTCGCCAGTTGCAGGCTGTCGTGTCTGCTCGTCCTTTTCTTGCACCTTCGTTCCCGTCTTGCTGTCCTTGCCCTGGGCATTGGGTGTAGACATCATGGAGCCACCTCCCTCGGCCGTTTCGTGCGAAGTCGGGGTAGGCTCCTGTGTCGCCCAATAGTAGATGTCCCAATCGTTCTCGTCGAGGAAAAGGTCGTATTGCTCGAGGACGGTGACAGACATGGTGGAAAGGTGGGCGTCAGCGAAAGTGCTGAGAAGGAGATCACTTTCTAGTGTCCCGCGCTTCCGGCTCTGATCTATTGAAAGTTAGCACGCTAATCTGATATCTTTGCCGTCACATGAGGAAAGCAGGTATATGTGGAGATCTTAGGTGTAGGAACGGACATAATAACCTCGCGCGCATCGTGTTTGCATCCTCGCCGGTCCGCCTAATCGGCTCGACCTTGAACTTCGCACCCTCCATCTCACCAACATCCAATTCGCTGTTTGAGCCACTCACATCCTTGCCCTTGCTGCTCTGCGTACCGCCAGTCATGCGTTCAGTGTTTTCCGGGACACCATCTTTGGGCTGAAATTTGGGGTCAACCTTGGTGATCAACTCTGGCGGTGGCGCATCGGTGCCTACAGAAGGCATCTCATTGGCAATAGTCGATGTTGTGTTGGTCATGTGAGGGTTCAACGGCTTCGATTTCTGAATGTTGCGATACTTTTCCGAAGTATCATTTGTGCGCTTGTTCAAGGCCTCGAATTCGTTGGTACGAATGGTAGAGATGCTAAAGGCGCGGCATTGTGTACGCTGAACGCTGAGAAGCGCACGTGAAGAGCGAGCGACTAGTCGTGAAGAAGCCATGATAGCTTTGGGTGTCGTTGGGGTAAGCAATGGCAGCAAAAGTACAGAGGTGTAAAGGTGGGTTGTTGCCGAGGGAAATGGAAAACGTCATAGCTCACGATTACTAACGACACTAACGGTTTGCTGATCGGCTGCAAGAGTCTATTACTCCTACACATCCCTGATGGTCCATATCTGATCGACGTGACTCGACGTCCTTTGGAGGAGAATCTCGTTAACAACAACAGGACAAATTTCAAATTGCTGATTTTGTACATATTGTAAGAATATACGTATAATTCTACGCTACTACACACATGCCGGGACTCTGGACCTGAAAATGCACACATTTCTGCCACGATGGATTCTTCCGACCTGCTCCTCCAACTTACCTTTCTCGGAAACTGATCGGTTTCTTGATGTCTGACTACGGTCCCACCTCGGTACCCTCTCACCAGAATGTTGCAATGCGAACGAAACGACGGCATTCACTCCTCCAAAGTGCCTCTTCACCTCAGGCAAACAAGTAAAGCCCTTGTTGTCTTATGAAAACATGCGAAGGGCAGTCCCTGAGAATCAAGCCATCATCCTTCTTGTGGTATACATAACAATGATATATGTGCTCATGTTGTCAACATCATACTCAATCAATAATGCAGCAGGGTCACCATTTTCGCCTGTGCTCTTGATGGCATATAGTGTTCGACCAAAATATGATTCTAAAGCTGTGATTTACACCACCATGCTCTCCCGACATGCAACCATTCTCCTCGCTCTTTGGGACTAGTAACAGCTATCTATCACAGCCTTCAAACCCGGCGTGTGCCATAATGTACATCCCCCAACCCACTCCGTCTCACGGCAATACTTTTGATAGAAAAGAGTATATACTCGGCGAACCATCTACACAGAACCGCAAATCACTTCGCCTCCATATTCCCCTTAGCCCATTGGCGAAGTACATTCTTTTTAATCTTGCCCGTACTCGTCTTCGGCAACTCTTTTACAACCACAACCTCCCTTGGCACCATAAATCGGCTAATACTACTGTTTTCCTTGGCCCATTGAATCACCTCTTTACCAATCTCCTCATTGCTTGCATAGCCGTCTTTGACGGTGACGTAGGCTTTGGGTCGCTCGCCCCAGTGCGAGTCTGGGACTGCGCAGACGCCGACTTCGAGTATGGCGGGGTGCGTCGAGAGCATGGCTTCTAGTGCAACGGAGCTGATATTTTCGCCACCTGGAACGAGGGTATGTCAGTATGAGGCCTTGGGGGTTCCTCAGAATTGGAGATAGAAAAAGTGGGATGAATACCAGAGATGATGATATCCTTTGCACGATCCAGAATCTTGATAGAATTGTCTGGATGCCAGACTGCTAGATCGCCGCTGTGTAAGACTCCGCCAGCCCAAAGTTTCCGAGTGGCTTCGGCGTCTTTGTAGTATCCTTTTGCGCAGATATTGCCCTCAAATATGACCTCGCCTATTTCTTTGCCGTCCTTTGCAACATCGATGAGAACACCTTCTGGTTGCTCTGTTTTGATAACTCGAACGGGAAGACCGGTGATGAAGCCGTGACCTTGGCGAGCCATGCGCTCGTACTTTTCCTTCTCTGGAATCGTGTCCCATTCCGGCATATGATATCCTTTTGTAGTGGGACCGTAAGTTTCAGTCAGACCGTAGACGTGAACGGGATGAAGATTGAGATTGGACATTTGCTCGAACAGGAAAGCTGAAGGTGGAGATGCCGCAACCGTGACCCGCACAGGCTGTGGTAACCTTTCCGCCTCCTTGGCTGCACAGAGTAGCGTGTTCACTGTGGGTGCAGCATTGAAGTGCGTGATACCTTCTTCCTTGAGCAGTCGCCATATCTCTGGGTAGTCGATCTTGCGCAGACAATAGTGTGTTCCTCGAACCATTGTAACCGACCATGGGAACGTCCAGCCTGTTGCATGGAACATCGGAAGGGTCCAGAGATACTTTGCGCGACCTTCATGATAGTTCAGTCCGGATTCGATAACATTGGCCATGGCTGCGAGGTACACTCCACGATGCGTGAGTTCTACGCCTTTAGGGCGTGCGGTAGTGCCACTGGTATATGCAAGTGCGAAAACAGCCTCTTCATCTGGTGCCTGCGACTCGAGCTCTGTCCATCCTTTCCCACCTTTCTCAATATCATACTTCAAGCCTTCCAAGACCGCGTCATCAAAAGGCCCAGAAAGCTCGCCCTCCGTCACGTCTGTATCCGTGTCTATGAGTATTGGCACATTAGGCTTATCTCGTTTGAAATCAGCCAACAGCCCTTCGAATTCCGCATCTGCAATGATCATGTCGACATCCGCATGCTGGAAAATATAATTGATATCGTCATGCTTCAGGCGGTAATTGACTGCAACGTTGACGGCTCCTGCAGCCGCAATCCCAAAGAGGCTTTCCAGGAAGGCAGGAGTGTTGGTCGCCAGAATTCCAATCCTTTTGTAGCCATGTTTCCGTAAGTAGTAGGCCAGTCCTCGTGCGCGATCCGCTGCCTCCGCGTATGAGCGGCGCAAGATTTGATTATTCGCTGTCTTGTGATAGATCGCCGTCGCATTTGGCTCGATTTGTGCGGCGCGCCAGAGAAAGCATGTTGGACTCAGCGTATGAAAGTTGTTCCTGTGGTGATACTCATGACTGTCGCCTGACTGAATAGGAGGTGGCCCAGGAACCGGATTTGCGGAAGTAAAGTGGGATGCGAGTTGCTTGAGCCGATCTGTGGGACCAACCATGTTGTTGACCGTGTCAATGTAAAGGGAGCCGGGGTGTGTATGTCCTATGAAACAGCGCACGTTCTCCAAATGGTTCTTCTCTCGAAATGCGACCGATTCAATCCCAGGTGCGGAGTAGACCCGGTAGGTATCGTTTAAGCAGCTTAGATTCTTTCAAGAGTGAAGACGACACACAAGATTGCAAGTCTGGAAGTCAATGACAGATTTGATGTATGACCAACAGCGTAATGGTAGCGAAATGAAGTGAACGCTGTAACTCTCACGGTGATCTAAATAGTGCTTATTAACAGCTTACAAGGGCTCGTTGTGGAAATCTGGGGAAGACGGCCTCGCGGGCAAGAACCGAGGTTAAACGATCCCATTGGCCAAAGAGCTGTACCGCCGACCGTGTTGTCCGGCTGCAGGTGCATCGGCTGCCGTCCCCACATCATGGGAAACGAGCATTGCGATGTTATCAGACGCCGCTCTTCCCAGTGACCACATATTGGAGTGGTAGCTTGGGAAAGAGAAAGAAAGAGGGATGTGTGTGTGTGTGTGTGAGTGAGAGAGAGAGAGAGAGAGAGAGAATTCGGAAACATGGAAGCTCCGTTAGGGCACAACACGGACATGGGCAAATGCAAGAAACTCTGGTCATTTACAATACGCTCAACGCCATCACTATGCTGTACAGGAGCCGTGGGATTTTCATTTCGTTTTTCGTCTAGCCGGGAAGAGTACCTGAGGAACGCAAACCGACCACGAAGATACCCATGAACACAAGCACCCTGGTATTGATGTGCTCTTTTAGCCTGGACACCCTTTCGAATGGTCGAAGTATAGTAAAGAGAAAGATCCCATGAGCCCACTGTAATCCACGCCGAACCACATGACCGACACCGACATTAATCATCAGCTGTCGGGGTCTAGTATCCGAGGGAGGTGAGGTGCTCCTGAGTCTTGCTGTCAATGCTAGCCGTCTTCTTGGCCTCGGCCAACTGCCTCCGCACAGCCTTCTTGCGCTCGTAGTATGCGGCACCCTTGACCTTCCTGCGCTCCTCAAGCCTGTGGCGAGTTAGCTTCTTGTAGTTTTGCGTACATGGAAAGGAAGACATACCGAGCAACGACGTCTTGGTACTTCCAGCCGAACTCGTGTCCGAGACGGCCGACAGTGCAGTACTTGCGGCCGGGCTTGAGCCTCAGTACCCTCAAGGCCTGGGGGACAACAACGCGCTTCTTCTTGTCGTAGGGAGCGGGGACACCCTCGAATGTCTTCAAGCGCTCGAGAGCGGCCTTGCCGCGGGCAGTCTTGTGGGGAATCATGCCGCGGACGGTACGCCAGAACATCTTAGAGGGAGCGCGGAAGTGGAAGGGACCTGCCGAATTTTAGTGCGTGTCCATCTCTTCGCATGTCGCTGCCCTTGAGCAAGCGCTGGGAAAGACATACCACCACGAGTGGGGTTGTAACGGGTCTGCTTGCGCAGGAAGGCCGAGTACTTCACTGTAGAAAGAGTCAGTCATGATGTGTTGCGTGTAATTTTGACCCTAGAGCGGTCCTGCTGATGGAGCAGCCACATAGCCCGCAATTGAGTTCAAGGCATTCTACATGTCCTCTGCCTCCATTGCAATCTTTGTGGCTACCCTCGCATCCCATACTCATGCCCTGTGGGGTTGTGTACGTACACTTTGCGCGGAAGAACTCGCCCAAGATGTTTATGGACCGATTAACTGGGCATGGTCCTAATAGGAACACGATC